GATTGCTCAGGAGAGTGTTATTCAATTTCCATATGTTTGTGAAGTTCCTACAGTTTCTTATGCTATTGATTTCCAGCTTTACTGCACTGTGATCTGATAATATATAGGGAATAACTTCAATTTTTTGCATTTATTCAAACCAGTTTTGTGAGCTAGTATGTGATCTATCTTGGAGAATGTTCCATGTGCAGCTGAAAAGAATGCATATTCTGATTTTGTGGGTGGTACACTCTATAGATGTCTAATAAGTCCATACGTTCAAAAGCTTGGTTCAGTTCTAGTATTTCATTGTTGATTTTTTGCCTAGAAGATCTATTTGTGATAGTGGGGTATTCAGATCCCCTACTACAATTGTATTAGTGGTTCTTTGGTTTTTTCATGTTACTTAATATTTGTTTTATATAGTTGGGGGCATTTATATTTGGTGCATATATGTTTATGATTGTTATTTCTTCCTCTTGGATTGTTCCCTGTACAAGGATGTAGTGGCCTTATTTATCTCTCTCAATCAGTTTTGGTTTGATGTTTTCTTTGTCTGTGAATAAGATTGCTACCCTTGCTTTTCTCTGGGCTCCTGTCACATGGAGAATTGTTTTCCATCCTTTCACTTTCAGTCTATGGGCTTCTTTTTGCACTAGGTGTGTTTCTTGTATACAACATATTGTTGGATTTTGCTTCTTAATCCATTCTGCCAATCTATTTCTCTTGATTTGTGAATTGAGGCCATTGTCATTGATAGTTATAACTGATAGGTACTGACTTATTATTGTCATGTTATTGTCTTTTTGTTGAGTCTTTATTTTTTGTCCTCTCTTTTTTGTTTCTTGCCCTGGCTATTTGATTTTCTCTGTTGGGCCTCCTGGTGTTGTGATCTTTGTTGTCTTTTTCTAGGCTATTGTTTAAAATTTTTTGTATTGCTGGTTTAGTATTCATGAAGTTTCTCAAGTGTTCTTTGTCATGGAAGTATCTTATTTCTCGGTCCATTTTGAAAGAGAGTTTTGCAGGATACATCAGTCTTGGTTGTAGGTTGTTTCCTTTTAGGACTTGAAATAGCTCACTCCAGGCTCTCCTTGACCTGAGGGTTTGTGTTGAAAAGTCTGCTGTGATTCTGATGGGCTTTCCTTTGCCTGTGGTTTGTTTCTTTTCTCTTACTGCTTGTAGTATTTGGTTCTTTTGGTGGGTTTCTGGGATCTTGATTATTATATGTCTAGCTGTAGATTATTGCTTATCGTGGCTTGTTGGGGTCCTATATGCCTAGCTTATCTGTATGTCTAATTCTTCCCTTCTGTTTGGGAAGTTTTCTTTCATTAATTCTTTGAACAGATTTTTTTAGTCATTTGCATTTTCTCTTGGTACTTCATGGATTCCTATCAGTCTTATGTTATTCTTCTTTGCATTATCTAGGAATTGTTGGATTGATTTCTCATGCTTCCTTACTGTTAATAATAGACCTCTCATTTCATGGTCACTGTCTGTGATCCTATCTTCTATATCTGAAATTCTATCTTCGCAATCTTGTATTCTCTTTCATATGCTTTCAATAGAGTTTTTAATCTCCTGGATAAACATTTGAATCTGTTAAATGGATTCCATTTCTTTCCTATGTTGGATGTTCATTGTTTCCATTTCTTTCTTATGCTGGGCCTTCATGATTTCTATTAAGTTTCTAAGCTCATCTATTTTTTTGTCATTTTCTGTTCTGGAGTCTTGAATCATGTCTTTCATTTTGCTCACCATCTCTATGGTTATCTGGGAAATAATTTCTGTTTTGAATTCTTCTAGAGCTTGATTGGTTTTTTTTTTACTTCCTGTTCTGTGAGTTCTGAGTGTCCTGGAGGTTCACTATCTGACTTTTAATCCTCCTTTGCCCTACTGTTTGCCATTTGTGGACTGGAAGTCTGTCTTTGTGGCTTGCTGAAGTGTATTCTCATCTTTATTTATGCTGTTGAGTTGCCATTGATTCAATCTCTGGGTCATTAAATCTTCCTGATATCATTATGTCCCTGCCTTTGATTCTCTAATGACTTTTAGGCATTCTCATTTTTATAGTTGAGAAAACAACACAACAAATCAATCCCTATCCTTTATCCTAATCAATACAATCAAGAACACAATAGAATCAATCAGCACCCTTTATATCCCCCCATGCCTCTGTACAGTGTTCCAAGGACTGGCTCAATCAGGGGATCTAAGAGATGGGGGGGCAGCTGTGCTCAGTGGCACCCACGCGCCTTCCCTCCTGGAGCTGGGTTGGAGCCAATCACAGGAGCGGGCTGGAAAAGGTGTGGCTTCAGAGGAGGCCCATAGATAGGGAGGCCGCACAGCAGAGAGGGATCTGGGTCCAAGCCAGGGTGATGTCCTGAATGAAACTCACCTTCCTGGAGCTGGGTCAGAGCCAATCAGAGGCACACGCTGGAAAAGTCGTGGCTCCAGAGGAGGACTGTAGATCGGCCACCATGCAGCAGAGAGGGCTCTGGATATAAGCCGGGGTGATGTCATGAATGAAACTCACCCTCCTGGTGCTAGGCCAGAGCCAATTAGAGGTGCGTGCCGGACAAGGCATGGCTCCAGAGGAGGCCCGTAGATTGGGCTGCAGAGCAGAGAGGGCTCTGGATCCAAGCCAGGGCGATGTCGCGAATGAAACTCACTATCCTGGAGCTGGGTCAGAGCCAATCAGAGGCGAGCGCTGGAAAAGGTGAAGCAACAGAGGAGTCCCAAACATAAGGTGGCTGCACAGCAGAGAGGGCTCTGGGTCCAAGCCAGGGCAATGGTGTGAACAAAATTCACCATCCTGGGTCTGGGTCAGAGCCAATCAGAGGCGCGTGCTGGAAAAGGTGCGGATCCAGAGGAGGCACATAGATCAGGCGGCTGGGCAGAAGAGAGGGCTCTGGGTCCAACCCAGGGCGATGGCGAGAACGAAACTCACCATCCTGGGGCTGTGTCGGAGCAAATCAGAGGAGTGCTCTAGAAAAGGCGTGGCTCCAGAGGAGGCCAGTAGATCTGCCTCTGTGCAGCAGAGAAGGGTCTGAGTCCAAGAGGGGTGATGTCGTGAACAAAGCTCACCTTCCTAGAACTTGGTCAGAGCCAATCAGAGGCATGCACCAGGAAAGGCATGGATCCAGAGGAGGCCCTTACATCGGGAGGCTGTGCAGCAGGGAGGGCTCTGGGTCCAAGCCAGGGCGATGGCGCGAATGAAACTCACCCTCCTGGAGCTGGGTCGGAGCCAATCAGAAAGGTGCACTGAAAAGGCGCGGCTCCAGAAGAGACCTGTACATAGGGCAGCTGCACAGCAGAGAGGGCTCTGGGTCCAAGCTGGGGTGATGTCACGAACGAAACTCTAACTTTGACTTTTGATAATTAACCAAACTATGTTCATTTTTTTCCTTATAATGACTCTGAATTGTACTACATTTTGTCTATGGCCATACGATCCTGAATACACCCTATCTCATGTGATATGCACTAATTTTTCTAATTTTTATATTTTGGCATTTCTTCTTTTTTTCTCTTTTCAGTATGACTTGTGTGTGTGTGTACCGGGGATTGAACTCAGGTCCTTGAGCTTGGAAGGCAGGCCACCGAACCGCTGAGCTTAATCCCCAGCCCTAATGGTCCATTTAAAAAAAAAAATCTTGTAAATGTGGATACTGTCTTATTTCTTTATTTAAAATTTCTTATTTTTTAATCACAGCATATTTATACATTTTTTTAAAATTTTTACCTTTTAATTTATATATATATCTTTTGTGAATCCATGTTTATTTTTATTTTTATTTATTTATTTTTTGGTACAGGGATCAAACTTGGGACTTTGTGCTTGCAAGGCAGGAAGTGGACCTACTAAGCTAAAACCTGACAAGTCTTGTGTAATCTTTAACATTTCAATCAAGGCCCTTCATGACTCTGTTAACATGTGGTCATCCTGGTTGGCTTATTCATTATGAGCTCGCAATAGATTTTAAACTACACTGGACATTTATGTACACAGTGCTGAAGAACTAACTTAGGACAGTCTGAGAATTCACTATTCCCAGGTAAAATATGTTTTACACTTTCTCTTTTGATTTTTTTTTGAATTTTTCAACTTTATCCTTGACTTTGGAAAATACCTGGATATTGACTTCTGTCTGTTGTGTTTATTCTAAAATGTATTGGAATAATTATTTAATTCCTGTCTTCTGAAATTCTTGCTCTCTTTAAAAATATATTACAACAATCTATTTTTCCAGAGTCTATTATCTATACTGGTCTCTCATTAAGGATACTTTCAAGTTATTCATTTATCACTTTAATCACAATATATTTTATACCATTACATTTAAATTGTCAAAATTAAAGTGTCCTTAAATTTATGTTTATCTTTTCTTTAAATCTTTAATATTCCAGTCTATGTCCATATGGCTCTGAGAATATGTGGCCAATTTGGTTTTTATTGTTTTTGTTTTTTCTATTGTGATGTCTGTAATGTTTATGTACAGTGTAAAAAGCTACCTAAGTCTAGCCTGTTAATTTAGTCTTTATAAAAGCCATTTTTAAATCTTTTCTAGATACTTACCTTTATCTTTTTGACTTTGGAAAATTCTGATTGATTAAATCTGTGTATTGACATATTTTCTTTAACCTTATTCTGATATGTGATAGAGTAATTGTCTAATTTATATATTCTAAATATTTTTCTTCTTTTTAAAAATGTAATTTTAATGATTGAATTTTAAGTAATCTCTCATCCACAGTTGATGCTGTATTATTGTTCCTTTTAAATTATTCAATTTAGCCTTTTAATCATAATTTATACATACTATACTGTAATATCTGAATGTGTTTTTATATATTATGTCTTTGAATTTAAATGTATCACTTGTTAAAAATTTAACATCCTAATGAAGGCCCATATAGACATTGTGAACATTCCACCATCCTGATTGGTTTTCTCATTGTGATGTCAGAAACTCTCCCAACATATGATGCCTTGGATACCTCCACATACACAAAGTTTGAGAGGAGACAGAAGGTAGAAGAACCAGGTGGGTGATAGTCTGATAATTATCTTCTACCAGTATGTAATTCTTACATCCTTTGGAATTTGTAGTTCTCTAAACTTATTTTTGAAATTTCTGGTATGATGTTTAGATATGAGATTTATTTATATAATGTTATATTTGATAATTTTACTTTCTCAGTTCTGGAAATTTTGAAAAATCTCTAATTAGAATAGACTATTTGCAATAATTTCTTCTATATATGTTTATAATTCTACTTTGATCTCTTGACTGCAATTAATATCTTATATTTTTAATCATGTTTCATTTTTACCTTTTTATTCAAAATATCTTTTCTTTTTCTCTTTTTGTTTTTTCTTTATGTTTATATTGATTAATATGTATGGTTTTCATATTCTAGTCATAGTTTATTCTTGTACTTTATTGTATGTGGTAATCTTATTTGGTCTTTTAAATATAAGGTCAAGCTGGGCATGATGGCACATGCCTATAATCCCAGCACATGGGAGGCTGAGGCAGGAGGATCACTGTGAGTTCAAGACTAGCCTGGGCTACACAGTGAGTTCCAGTTCAGTCTCAACTACATAGTGAGACCCTGTAAGACTTAAAGTCTCACTTTTACTCTGTGGAGCATGAACAGCCAAAAGGCCTCCACAATGCTGAGCCCTAAAGCTCAGGAGCTTGTTGAACAGTGAGAATCACCCAGGAAGGAACACACTGGACTAGGGGGCAAACAGACCTTTATTAGTCTGGTCAGACAGTACTCCTGGAGACAAGTAGCTCAGAGAGGCAACTACCTCAGAATCAGAGGCTATTTTATATAGGGCTATGGGGGGAGTTTACACTCGAAACTTATAGGAAGGGGACAAAGGCAAGTGGTCAGTTGATCCGAGCTGGTGGTCATCAATCATGTACTCGACCATTATATACTAATGGTCAGCAGATCGATTATCCATTGTTTTATAGATTATGGTGTTCAGAACGTTCAGTTAAGAGCATACAAGGAGTGGAGTGATTTACTTTAGGCCTCTATGTTTGTTACAGTTTCTCTCTAGTTTCCCAATTACAGTTTCTATCTAGTTTCCCAGAACTACCAAGCAGTTACCTATTAATTCACAATCAATCATTACTTATCTTATAAGGGGGGGAAACAACCATCCCTGGGTCATTTGCTGGTCAACATGGAGTCACTCTAGTTCAGTCTTACATTCCCCACTGATTTTTGGGCCTAAATCAAATCTTTGATTTACTTATATCTAGTTTTAAGCCTTAACAGATAAATACATTGTAAAAAACAACAAGTTATTATCATACAAAACCCCAATGCCATTTTGCAAAGTATCAGTTGTTTTAACCAGGTAATGTCAGGTAACCAACTTGTTAATCATTTAAATAAGTCTCATCCATTCATTATAAATTTTTGTAGCTAAGTCTTCGAGCTTTTCTATGTCTTGTTCTATAGCTGGCCCATTATTTGTTAAATTGAAGCAGCACATATTTTTAATCTTTTCACAACCTTGGTGATGAAATAACAACAAATAATCAATTGCTGCCCTATTGTCTAAGATTGTTTGTCTTTGTTCTTGGAGCTCTTGATTAATTAGTGCCAGGGCAGCAGAGGTGGTCTTTAATCCCTTAACTACTTTGCAAGCTAGCTTTCTAACTGCCTTTTCAGCATAAACTCCAATTGAGGGTATGCCTATCACAGAAACAATCATAGGAATAACTTCAGCATCTGTTAAAAGTCTCAAATCATCATCACAACCTGGTGAAGTATAGGGAGACCACCATTTTGTTTTGTTAGGTGGTAAAAGATCTCCCCTGTCAGATAAGACAACTGCTAATTTACTGAGACAACATCAGGCCTCAGTCAAGTTTGCTGGGATGTAGTTATAAATTATTCCCTCACAAGTATAAAACCATCCCAGGGGCAAAGTAATGTGACAATTGCTATAAGGAATCTCTTGTTCTCTGGGACACTTCATTGCATTTGCCCGTTTAAGGTTTAAACACTGGGAAGTACAAACTTTATATTTGGCACAGTGGGTCTTGTTGGACGTAGCTACCTGAGGGGTATATAGCTTAATAGCATTTTTGGTTTGTAACATATCACCTGTCCCCAATTGTAACTATCTGAATAACTAAGATTTGCCTGTGGAAAGTCTTAAAATATAGTATATGGTCTAATACCTTCAAGTGGGGTGCATACCAGAACCAAGCAATTTCCAAGCACATAATGAAAATTTACATCAGCATTTAAACAGATTTCGGTCAAATTGAAGGATTCAGCTAGTTGCACTCAGACATTTTTAGTATGATCTAAGCTTTCTTTGGGCGACGCCATTATTGTCCCAGGGAAAATCACTCAGATCATAATGCAAGTCCAGTTGAGCGAAGGTTTACTTTCAGTTCTCTGGGTTTGCTGATGATGCTCCATTTTCCGTGTGTCTCTGGGCTGTTGTCAAATCCAGGCTTGAGGTGGTTGCAGTGCATCTACATCGGGTGTCCCGCAACCTTCATGGCCAGAGGTGTACACAGGACAACCAGAAAAGACCTCTTCCACCATGGTTCCAAGGTCTTAGAATCAAACCTGTGAATATAAACCAGTTCTCCTGGCTTATAGGGCAGTGGCTGTAGAGGTTTTTCATGTGAAAGGGTAAGAGATCTGCTGACCCAATCTTGTAATCGAGACTGTATTTCATGTAAAGCTCTGAGACTTAAGCAGCCTCAGGTGAGAAGATTTCTCTTTTAATTCTATATCTATATGGGGAACCAAGGGGGTTATGCCCATAGATGATTTTAAGGGTGACAGGTTCAGAGGAGGCTTGGGAGTACATTGAACATGCAACAGAGCAAAAGGGAGAAGCTCTACCCTACTTAATTCAGTCTCTAGGCTCAATTTAGTTAAAATCTCCTTTAGTGTTCAGTTAGCACTCTCTACCTGTCCTGAACTTTGAGGCCTGTAACCACAATGTAGATTCCATCTAATTCCGACACTAAGGCTAATCAGTTTAGGCACTTTAGCCATGAAGGATGGCCCATTGTCATACCCCAGGGCTAAGGGCAAGCTAAATCGAGGCACTATTTCAGTCAGAAGCTTTTTTACTCTTATCTCAGATGTTTCCTTTTTAGTGAGATATGCCTCTATCCACCCTGAGAATGTGTCTATGAAAACTAACAGATATTTGCAACCATACATGACTAATTTCATTTCAGTGAAGTCCAATTCCCAATGTTCTCCAGGAGTCAGTCCCCTATATCGGACCCCTGGGGGCCCAGTCACCCTATTCGCATTTACCTTGTGACAGGTGGGGCACCGTCTCACCCTGTCCCAGGCCTTCTGGGCTAATTCTCTGCTGACAAAGTGGGGCTGTAGCATGGCCATCATCCTGTTTTCTCACAGGTGGGTGGATTCATGGAGCTCATTTAGCATAGTGTTGGCAGCTGGCAAAACAACTTTCCCTTCATCAGTCGTCCACCATCCATGTTTTCCTTTGGTCCAGTGCTTTTTGCTCATCTCTGTTATTTCTTCCTGTGTGTATTCAGGTCTTTCTGGGAGCACGGGTGTAGGTAGCAGCACCAATTTTTTTCCCACTGATGTTTGGGTGGCTTGCTTTGCTGCCTGACCAGCTGCATTGTTTCCAATTGCTTCAGGGATGGAATTCCTTTGATGTCCCCAGCAGTGAATGATGGCAACCTCCCTCAGCATCCAGATGGCTTGTAGCAAAGCCAATATCTCAACTTTGTTTTTTATTTCTTTTCTATCTGGTGTTAAAAGTCCTATATTCTGGTAATTTCTCCATGTGCATGGGCAGTAGCAAAAGCCTAATGGCTGCCAGTGAAAATATTTATCTTTTTTCCTTTTCCTAATTCCAGAGTCTTAGTTAAAAAAGCAATCAGTTCAGCCTTCTGTGCTGACGTCCCTTGGAGTAGAACCTGTTCCCATACTATCTGTTGATCTTGATTGACTATTGCTGCTCCCACATATCTTAGGCCTTCACATATGAAACTGTAACCATTGGTATAGTATGTTGCCTCAGGCTGGGGAAGGGTCAGGTCTGTCAGATCTGGATGCCCTCCCTGCAGATTTTCAAGAGTCTCAAGGCAGTCATGGATGGGCAGTTGATCATCTGACTCAGGGAGCAGGCTAGAAAGATTCAGGTTAGATGTTGTGGCAAATTTAATACGTGGCTGTTCTAGCAAGAGTCCCTGGTACTGCAACAATCTAGCATTTGATAGCCATCTACTCGACAATTTGTGCAGCAGGGGCTCAATGGTATGGGGAGTGATGAGTTAAATCCTGGCCAAAAGTCAATTTATCAGCTTCCTGGGTTAAAGCAGAAGCTGCAGCTACCATCCTTAAACAAGATGGCCACCCTCTGGCTACTGGGTCGAGTCTTTTGGAGAGACAGGCTATAGGCCACTTCCAAGGCCCCAAAGATTGTGTGACCACTCCTTTTCCAACCCGTTCCTCTCTGCCACATATAAGGTGAAAGGTTTATTTAAATCAGGTAGGGCTAAGTCTGGCGCTGTGTTGAGTGCAGTCTTGAGCATCTGGAACACTTGCTGACAAGTCTCTGTCCATTCAAGGGGTGCATTTCCCCCCAGCCTTAGCCTCATGCAGGGCTTTGGCAATTTCAGCAAAACTAGGTATCCAGATTCTGCAGTATCCTATGGCCCCCAGGAGCTCACACACCTCCTTCTTTGAGCTGGGTATCGGGATCTGAAGGATCGCTGACACCCTGGACTCAGCTAACTTTCTTTTTCCTTTTTCAAGAATATAACCCAAGTAAGTTACCTTGGTTTTGCAGAGCTGGGCTTTCTTCCAGGACACTCAATATCCCAGATCTTGTAGGACTTCCAAGAGGCCCTCGGCAGCTGTGAGACATTCTTTCTGTGTTGTGGTCACCACCAAGAGGTCGTCTACATACTGGAGAATAGTTGCATAGGGAAAAGCTCTCCTTACCTCTTGTAGATCTCTGCTGAGAGACTCCCTGAACAGTGTGCAGGAGTTTTTGAAGACT